GCTGCTGGTATATGCTCTTTCATGCTGGTGTGACTGCGTACACAGGAGGGTGAGGTTTGCTATTTCAGGTGTGCTGGCATAGTTGAATGAACAGTTTCCTCATGTAAGTTCTTAATCTGAAGCACTTGGACTGATGTCCAGTGCCTTGTCTTGTCTTAGTTAGATTACAAAATCTTTGACCAAGGGTTTGGAGTTTAAAGTGCTAGTTCTATACGAGGGATACTTTTGGGGGAGGGGAGGGCAGGAGGGGGTTTAAATCCAAATCTGGACTTGGATTTTGAAATGCATGAGTGCACGAAGCTTCTTTTGAAAGCCTCTCAGCTATACTGAGAGCTGCGAAAGTTGGTCACGCTACAGATAAAATCATCGAAAAAGGAAGTGAAGCACAATGGTCACCTTTTCAGAAGTCCCTGCTGACCGGCAGAGACCTAGAACGTATGTGAGAGTGTATTTCCTCAACTTTAAGCCAGACTCCAGAGGTCTGATCACTTTAAAAAGCAGCTCATAACTTTGATAAAGGTGTCAGAGCTCACCTAGGAAATACTAGCCAGGAGTAGGTGAAGAATCTGTGCTTAAGCTTTATATATTTGTGTTGTTGTGCTTTTGGGCTTAGTTATACCATGTGTTAGTGAGCACCACCTCGTATCAGCTAGCTGTGCAATATGCAGCACACGAAGAATGAGCTGTGTAGGTGAAACGATTTCTTGATTTAATATGCGAAAGAGATCTTTGTCTTTGCTGTGTTTTGTAAATCTGTGTGCAAAGGGCTTTGATAATGAAGTGCTGTAATGAAAGTGCTATTTAGAGACCCCGTGGGTTGGCAATCTTGCTGTGCATTAAGCTTTATGGTAACAGGAATAATGCTGAAGCCAGGACCTAGAGCTCTTGCTCCGTATTTTACCTGAGTATAGGACTAGGAATGACTTCAGTATTGCTTTGCTGCTGCTGCTCTGCAAAGGTTACCTTCTTTAATAAGCATTTATTTCTTCGCTATAGTGATTGAAGTGAACAAAAGCATCCGAAAGGAGTCTGGTATGTTGGGAAAGTTACTTCAGAAAAGATGGGAAAGCACTTGAGAAGCACCGATATGTCGAAAAGAAATGGTGCAAATCCCTCTTTTTCCTTGCAGAAGTGCTTTTGGACCTTTTAGACAGATGAAAGGATAAACTGTAATTACAGTTAACCTGCTATTACAGGGTCAATTTCCTTTCCTTTGTTTGCTTCTTGTGAATAAGCAGTGTAAATTCACCTAGGCTATACTGTAATAAGTGCAGTTTTACTGTGTTTAGATTTTGATCAGTTACGAATCTATAGCTACTATATTTTTTTAATGATTTTAAACTGTGTGTGCAGGATACTCACACACATGCACCAAAGGCCCACTCTTGCCACATTTATCTGAAGAGAGCTCCCATTCAAGTGGATGGATATTTTCTTTGTGTAGGGACTATGGAAACAGGCCCACGTCTGTGAAGGTGTACATAGGTGTATAGTTAGATACAAGTAGTGATTTGCAAGCCAGAAAGATACTTAAAGAAATATATGTAAGATAGTCCTTGAGATGAAGTACATGTTGAAACGTGTTCACTTTCTGATTAATTTTTGAGGAGTTGCTCAAAAAATGATGGAACAGCTATGGCATTTGTCAGAAATGCCATCTGCAGAAGCTTTCAGTTCCTTTTTTTGGCATTCTCACCTTGCACCAGGCACTGGAAAATCAGATTCCTACTGCCGTGTCACAGTATTCTTGGGGCCAAGTGGAAATGCCGTGGCAGCACCTTGCAGGAGCAGGGTCTGAGGATGGACCTTACCTGCTGCTCTCTTCTCCATGGGTACCAAATAAATACTGCCAGGGAGATTTTCAACACGCGGAGGTCACTACCTGTGTAATGTCACTGTGGGGTGGGTGAGCCAGTGTTGACCATCCTGAGCTTCTGCCTGTCCTGTTAAACAGACAAAAAGAAGGGCTGTGCAGGCAGAAGGACCTTGCTTGTTTTCTGCCATCATTCTTCTGTGTACTGAGCATAAGAAAATATTCTTTTCACATCAAGAATCTGCCTGAGTTTGAGGCTGTTTTGTTTTCCTTTCTCCCATGTGGTCAAGGCTCCAGATGTCCAATCTTAGCCTTCTCTGAGCAATGGGATACCTGAATGATAAGAAGCCGGGTGTGTTTTCTGCACACCATTACGGCAAGTAAAGGGTGTGCATAGCACGTTGTGCTTTCCCACAGGAGAGGCTGCCAGCCCTGGAGAAATCCCCCAATACAAAAATCTGATCTGTCCATGAAGAAATGCTGTCAGCTGTCTGGTACCACATCCTGAGCTCAAGCTGTAATCCCAGCTCCGTGGCAGAGGATATGAAATCTGAGACAGGGAGAGAGAAAATGGTGATGTTATGGTTTAATCCCCAACTCCTCATCTTATTTAGGGAAATCTTTTAAGAAGCTCCTGAGATCTGCATACACTGGCAATGCAAATTCAGTTGGAAAAACTTAACTAGGACTGCTTCTCCTTTACTGTCAGGGCAACAGAGGAGGCTTATGAATCTGCCAGTGCTGTCATCAAAAGGAAGGAAGTATTTAGTTGAAATAGTTCAGCTGCTTGCTTTTGATTTATGAAATCCAACTTTGCTGTTGGACAGAATGGATTAAGTGGGGATAGGGCCATTATAATATTTTAGCATATTTTCTGTGATTGCAAGGGACTTGTGGAAGCCAGCTCATGAATTGCAAAGGGAGAGACATGCCATGGCAGCTCCTCCTGCTGCAGTCTCGAGGAGGAGAGGCACCTTGGTGAGGGGGTCCATAGTCACGTGGAAAAGCGACGTAAAGAGAAGACAGGAGATTGCAACCACAGCTCTGGTCTGGAGCCTTTAGTGCTGTGAAGTTACACAGACAGAGATCATAGAATCAGAGAATCAAAGAATGTTGGGGGTTGGAAGGGACCTTTGGAGACCACCCAGTGCCACCCCCTGCCAGAGCAGGATCCCCCAGGGCAGCCACACAGGAACGTGTCCAGGCGGATTGGAAAGTCTCCAGAGCAGGAGACTCCACACCCTCTCTGGGCAGCCTGGGCCAGGGCTCCGGCACCCGCGCAGGGAAGATGTTTCTCCTCATGTTGTGGTGGAGCTTCCTGTGTTCTAACTTAAACCCCTTATTTCTTGTTCTATTACTGGACACCACTGAGAAGAGATTGTCCCCTTCCCCTTGACACCCACCCCTCAGATACTTGTATTTGATAGATGATAGATGAAGCTTCATAGCTGGCAATGGTCAGGAGTAGCTCCCTGGATAAAGCTGCCTCCGTTCAAGCTTGAATGATGATAAATTAAATGTGGTATTCACTCCAGATGGTTAGAGGTACTGAATGGAAGGAAATCAACTCTAAGAACAGTCCATTCTGTGGGGGTTTGGTGAGTCAGTAGAAATGTTCCTCAGACCTTGAAGGCAAAAACGCCGGTTGTGACGCGGAGACGTGGGTGGACTGCCTGTGCTCAGCTTTCTGTGGCAGGAGGGAGCAGTCTGTGGTTTGCATGTGAGGGAGATCAAAGGGGATAAAACACCAAGATATTAAGTGAGAGGGCATCAGTCCTGTATAATCTTCTGAGGTCTGGTGGCTTGTCAGCAAGGCTCTGACCGTAGAGAGTACAAACTTAGGTAGTGGAAAGGGGAAAATGTAGAGAAATTCCACGTTCTCTAAGGGCCAGATTCCCTAGGAAATTCTGGAGTGAGCTGAGGTTTTAGGAATGAAGGAGTAAGTATTTACACTTAGAGCCTTTTCCAAAATCCAGTGAAGTTTGTGGGGAGTTCTGTGTACTTCAGAGCAATCCTCCAGAAACAGGCCCTG